TTTAAAATCTTTTCAAGAAAAATACTAAAAATTTTATCATTTATTCAAAATATCATTTATATTTGGATTAACTATTAATTTTTAGGGTTTGTTAAAATCAATAAATTATGTAAAGTTTAGAATGTTAAGGTTTAAGATTTAAAAAAAAAATAATTTGTAGAATTTTTGAAAATAGACAATTCGTAATAGTATTTCAAAAGTGATATTTTCGAAAAAAAAATCAAATATTAAATTAGCTTTCTCAAAATCTCACTTCTACCCACTCATACGTACAAATTAGTTTTTTTGTTTAATATAAAATATTAGTATTAAGCCCCGTGCCTTGCACGGGTGGAGACGTTCAAGACTTTTCATACACGAATGAGAGAGTTCAACCGATGTAAGGCGCATCAAAAGAAAGATAATTCTTTGCTATGGACCATTCATCGAACACGATGAGGTTGTTCCATAACAACATAGTCTTTTCTCATATTGTCTACAAAAAAGGGTTAACTCGCTAATTAAACTAATTAGGTTAAATTTGAGAAAATGACATCTATTAAAATTGATGAGGTGTAAATGTGAGAGTAAATTTAAGAGTCTTTCTCTAACTTGTGTTATAGTAGTATAAGGATTAGTATTTTTTGTAATAAACCCTGTAAATTATGGCTTTTTATTATTGCATGGTATTCAAAACCAACCAACCGGTTAATAATATCATGTTTAAAATATAAACTAATTTTCTCAGTAAAGTTAAATTAAGAAAATTTTCAAAAAATGCCACTTTTCAAGTGCCACTTTACAAAAACACCATACTTTTGAAATCTTTACAAAAATACCACTTTTTCAAAATTATTTTTTCTTTATATCATTTATGTTTGGATTAATTATGTTCTATTAGGGTTTAGTTATGAGGGTTTAGAGGGTTTTAAGGGTCAAAACATTTTTTAGGGTTAGAATTTTAAGATATAGGCTTTATAAATCTATAATTAGTGGCATTTTTGCAAATTAGCACTCCTAAGTGGTATTCTTGCAAATATGCATATAAAATATGGCATTTTTGTAATTGGCCCTTAAATTAATAATTTTGATTATTTACTTTTAAAATCACTAAACGTGTAAACCATTATTCACTTGGTAATAAAATAGTTTGTATGCAATTCTTTGAAATTTTCAAAAGCATGATGTGATGGTTTTTTTTAGACTATATGTAGTAATCGTGATCTTTTCGTATTATTCAAAATAGCAAGATGTGTGATATATATTAAAAGAGACACATTTTTTATGATGTGTCAACCTTTCATTTTTTAAAGATTTTTTATTTAATAAATCAAACTACTATTAATTCCTATTATATTCATATCCAAACACTATACAAAAAACATGAGACATTAACAAAAATGCCATTTTTTATATCCACATTTGTAAAAATGCCAATTTTGGTGTCAATTTGCA